CTTGTATGAACTTGAGCCAGCAGCAGCTATGGGGGACGGGAGGGAGTCAGCGTGCGTGCTGCAGAGGCGCTGCAGCCCCGGGTCCCGTGCGCCCCGCTCGGGAACGGGACAGCAGCAGTGCTGCAATTTTATGGTTTTATGGTGAATGTATTAATAATATTCCTGTGGTTATCATGGCCACGGCATCTAGAGAGAGATGGAGATATACATATAGCACTAGCGCAGAAATCTGTTAGCATAAATTACCAGTGAATTCACCTAAAGAGCCAAATCCCAACTCCATGATTAAAAATAGTAGCAGAACTTCAAAGGGGCAAGACGCAGCGTGATTTCTGTTTGAGATAATACGGATTCTTTCAAGTAGTAAAGGATCTTGCATATGCTACTTTCCTTGGTATTTTGCGTAATATGCTGTGTCCAGCCAAGATTAGATAAAAGCACAAGCAAGATCCTTTTTTTTCTTTCCAACGTTAACTCTTTTCCTTCTTGTCCTAACCCAGAGATGAGGTCTCAGAGCTTAACGGGCAGACCTTCGCTGTTGGCTCTAGGCTTCAATTCCAAATAAAAGTTTTTGAGTTTTGCTGCTCTGAGCTGCGTACAGTTAAATATGCGTGAGCATTGAGGGTGTTGCCGTTCAGTTTGGCACAACTGAGCCGCGCAGGGAACGTGGTGCAGGTGCCTTGGCAGAGCCGTGGACGTAGCGCCCGGCTGCAGCCGCTGCCCATGCCAGCCTTTCCCAGCTTCCCGAGCAGAGCAGCCAACCGAACGCAGCCCAACTGCGTAGCTCTTGTCTGTTTTTCTCTAAAACTTTTTATTTGATCGCATTTAATGCAGATGAGCCCTCCACACAAATATTAGCAAAGCGTATTTGCAGCATGCCAGTCGTCTTTAAAAGTCCGTTTGTTTCACCAGGCTTCTCACTGTTTGCACACAGTTATTATTGCTCAGACTCCAAAAAAGCAGTAACCATGTTTATAAAACTGATGTGATCTTGCTGTGAGGCTGTCATTTGTTCGTTTGAAAAATATTCCCATACTTAATTTGTTTTGTTGTTACTAGTGGGGGCAGTCTTACTTCCAGAAACTCCTGGAAAGCACTGGTGGTGTTAGTGAGCCCGTTCTCACCGCGGTAACCTCCTCTGGGCTGTGAGGATTGCTAAGGTGCAATAACTGTACCTTCCCTAGCAGAGTGTTTCAGGTAGCAACAGTTTGTTGCCAAGTTTCTGCCGATTGGGCTCGAGTGACACTTAGTTGGGTTAAACTTGCACTCAGATGTCACAGAACATCTTTTTATCCCATTTGTATGGCAGAAGTAGGAATAAACTTGCCTAATGAGCCTTTACCGTTGGCGCTGGCCTTGGCCAAGCGCAGCGTGGTCGGACCGCCCCCACGTCGGTCCGCGGGCCGGACGACCCGCTGCAGCAGAAGAGCTTGCAAGAAGAGGCGACCTTCGTGCGCTCGCGTGCAAGGGCAGCGCTCGTGCCCAGCAGAAGAAGCGGTAGTGTGTCTGTCTGGTTTTCTCCCTAAAAAGAAATGACTGATCCGTTCAAAGTTCAAAACTCAGCAGACAACGCCTTCAGGAATGATCAGACCTCAGCTGAAACACTTGTCTTGCTGCTGGCGTGCGCGTAGGACAGCCAGCCTTCCCTGGGAGGAGCAGGGGCTTCAGTGCAGCGCGATCCTCCTCTGCTTGTTTTTCTTTTACGCTGGGAGTCGCAGCGAAGGGAGGATCAATGCTGTCTGTGTCGAGCCAAGACAATGTCTCTGCGTTATTGCCGTGGTATTGACAGCTTGGCTTCTTTTCTTGTACTGTCTCTACTTCATTTGTGAAAAGTACTGTAACTATCCCCTAGTAATCATTTCAGGGATGGTGTGCAACTTGAAAAGAAAGGAAAATGGGTACACCTGATTGCAAAGAAAACACTTTAAATATTGAATAGTTTTTCTAAAGGTCTGCATTTTCCATTTGCCTCAGCACTTAGTGTTCGTACAGCCATTTTGTACCAGCTGTCACAATGGACATTTTACATCCAGGGCATTTATGGCAATAACGGTGAAGAAGGGATCTTCCCTCCCACCCTTTCTTGCTGTTTTGCATCTCTCCTTCCACGTGCAGTGAGGCAATTAATAAAACCCTTAGATCTGTCTTTCCCCCCACAATCCATTCAGACTTTCTCAAGCTAATTGTCAGACTATCTTTCATTAAGCCAAATGCAGACTTTTGATCTACTTCTTTGGAAGAGATTTTGTGTTCAGCATGTGAAGGAACTAGTCCCCTGTTTACAAGATTTACATCAAAATAAGGTTTCTGGGAAAGAAAATCCAGCTTAGCAAAATAAAAAATTGTGCAAAGGCCCCAGGGAACTAATTCATATGCATTTCAGCAAAAATAATAATAAAAAATAGCATAAGACAGCCTGCCTTAGCTTTGCAGAGATTAAGTAAGAACGTGGCGTTCTCCACCTTCTAGGTGCTGGTTTATTTATGCACTAGGCTAGTAATGACCCAAAATCCTCAGGATTTGAGTGCTGTTTGGTATTCCTTTGCGAACTGGTTTTCTTGCTTCAGTTCTCATTATCCTTGGTTAGTGGGACAGCTCTCCTGGGCTTCGGCTGGGGAAGGGTCCCCGCACACCAGGGGTTCCCGCTTCGCAGGAAGCTCGGTGCCTCGTGCAGGGCGAGCCGGGGCTCGTGCAGGACAGCGGTTACCTGAACAGAAGCCGCTGTCCTTCCTTGGGCTGGCGCCGGCGCAGAGCTGGGGAGCCAAGGAGAAGCCCTTGTCTTCAGCCGAGCGCTTCCGTCTCCGTCTCACCGCTTAGGCCGTTTCCCAGAAGGGTAAGGATGAGCGTGATGTCTTTCTTAGAGTAACTTTGTATGAAGCCTTTTGGGAATTTTGGCAGCATGAGGCCAGCTCACAGGGTTTGCATTCAAATAATTTGAATTACCAGGATAAGTTTTTGTGCTGAACACAGAGACAAGGGTGGAAAGCAAAGCACGCCGTGCCGAGCCGAGGGCCTGAGCAGCAGCCTCCACGTGCCTGCGATCCATCAGGCAGTTCAGGCACGCTGTTTTATTATGAACCTGAGCTCATGTTGATGCTTCGTGCTCTAGGGTAAGGAAGTGCTACCTGTTTTCCTCAGCTGCTCTCTGTTTTATAGAAACACCCTGTAGCTTAGAGAAAAAGGCATTTAGCAGCTGACAACAGCTGAAGAAAACTACTGCAATTAATTAATAGCCCAGTGTCTTGTGCGGTTGGCTCCTACACAGGGCATATCATAGCTAATTGGGAAGTCAATCCAGATCGTCTCCTGCGGAATGTGTTCATGTTAATGATAAGTGATTGCTGTATTCAAGGGTAGTTTTTATTTAATTCCTAGTACTTTATTTTGACTAGTGAGTAAAATATTCTGGAAGTATCGAAACAGTCTGTGTAGGTGAGTAACAGGAGCGTAAGGATGTCATTAGAAATGAACCCAGCTGGATCTGGATGCTGGCAAAATAACGTCAGAAGTATCCCAGTTATTTGGGGGGAAAGGAGCTGTGTTATCCGAGGATGAAAGAGTCCATTTGAGAGCAGCTGAAAGGAAGGACTGGTCCCTGGTGAAAGGGAGGCTGCTTAGGGATCCCCTGTAAAATGAATCAATAAAATTCTGACTGTAGATTTTAGAGATGCTGCGAACCTGGGTTTAGCCCCGAAGCTCGCCCAGACCCGGGCGCTGCCTTGCGGCAGGAGCGCCGGGAGCGCGGTGCTCCGTGCGCCGCCGTTCCTGGGCCGAGAAAGAAATTAAATGGATGGAGGGAAGGTCCAGTGGTGAGTGGTAGCACTGAGGGTCCCCTCACTCAGCCAGGAAAGTCCTGAACCTCTGACTGCCATGGCTAGAAGGGTATAGAGTGGGAAAAGTCCCTCCGTACATGGCCCCTTTTATGCTCGTTCTGTATACATCCACTTCAGCCATCATTGCAAGTAAGAGTGGTAGGACTCTTGCTCTGATACAGCTCAGTAGTTTTTATATTTTTAAGTCCAGTTGCAGAAATGAAACTAATGATTAGAGATAAGGGAATCCTGGTGGTATCTATCTATGGAGAGTCCTTGTTACACCATGCAAATCCATGTTTTCCTTTTGGGCTTGAAAGAGCAGTGAAGAAGTAGAACAAAACACCAATTTCTGTATTAAGTTATTGTTACTTTAATTCTCTGCGTTCCTTCACTGGGTTTTTCCCCCTGGGGTGTGGAAGCATCGTGGCCTCCTTGGATCTGAGCAAGGACTGTTGATTTCAGTGGCATTTCTTTTTCTAGCAATAATTCAGGAAAAGGGAAAAGGAATATCAAGGGGGTTAATTCGACAGGCAATCTTCTGGGACGTGACTCTTCTCACTGGAAAGCAGTTAAGGAATTTGGGCTTAAATTTCCTGGTTCTGAAATATTGGTCTGGCAGTATCCCCACGTCATACAGATCTAACCAGTTATCTCTGGAATTTCTTTGCCTCACCAGCTGTGGACAACCATGCCTTGATTTTAGGGTTAAGGCGGTAAAAGCAGGTCAGGGTGAAGTGCTCTGCGGGTTAATGGTACCTTCATTTATGAACTAGTGGATCAAATCACAGAGGTCTGAAAAATTCAATGAAGAATCTTCCTTCCCCCCATCTTTTTCTTGCAATTGTAAAACCTACTTTGAATCAATCATACACAGTTGTGCAGTTTCTTCCGAAGGTCGCTATGCAATGAAAATGCAACTGTACAAACCATTTCTGCATATCTTTAAAAGATTATGAAAAAAAGGTGATATTTTTCTCTTTGCATGCAATTTTTAAGAAGCAGAGAGCAAGAGCCATAAAGTTTCCTTTTATAGATGTAGAAGACAGCAGCAGAGTGTGCTAAAGTGAGCGAGGAAAACCCAAGGTGACATTTAATTTTAGCGATAATAAGCTATGGCAAAACTCCTCATATTAAAGACCTAAGGCAAAAATGCTCAGCTGGTATATTCTGGCGCAGAGACACTGAAAGGAGCAAAGGGAGACAGGGTGAGACACCTTGAAGAAGATTCAAAGAGCCAAGCATTAATTTTAGGGATGAAGAATTTGAGCACCTCTGCTAAGCAATAAATGAATAATGCCCATTACAGCGCGAGACAGAGCTGCTTTACTGCTCAGGTTTGCACAGTAGAAACTTTTCCCTGGATAAGGCAAGGCTGCTGCTTAGGCGTAGGCAGGGTTTATGAGAGGGGTTGCGATGGGAGAGCTGTGCAGTCCTGCAAAGACATTCTCCGGCCCACGTGCCCTAAACGTCTGTGCCTCTCACGGCGTGCAGGCTGGAGCAGGAGCAACGGGGCCCTCGGAGGTGATTTCACCCCCCAAACATAGGGAGGAGCAGGCTACGCGGCTGCGGCAAGGAGGGGGCAGCGTCCTGCCTGGGCACTGCTGCAGCCAGGTCTGGGTGCTTCACTCCAGCCAAATTATCTTCCATGTTTCTGGGTGCAGAATCTGTCGCCTCTCATTTGAAAACCTTTCAGCCTGCACGTTAGCCTCACGTGTCTGTGAGTCAGACAATTCAGATTGACAAGTAGAAAGGCTTCAGGGTGAGATATTCCCTTTAACAGACAACCAGCCAGCAGGTCCTTATCCCATCTCAGCCTGTTTCGGAGAAATGCCCATTGAAATCCAACTGTAGAGCGTGAAGAGGTGGAGTGCGTTTGCCTGTACAGGCTCTGTAAGCGCTATAGTTCTCACTTGCTGCTCTGTCCGGTGGGTAACTGCAATCCCTGGAGATGGGAGTCTGCTGGAGGGGGCACCTCACAGCGCCAGCGCCTCCTCCAGCTGCTCCAGCTTGCTCCGAACGCAGGGCGGCCGTCCTGCCCCGCTTGCTGCAGCCCTCTCACTAGATCCACCCGTTTGCTGCGAATTCTCATGACTGAATGTTTTCAAAGGGAGGAGGGTCTTTCTTAATAGACCTCTTTGCAAATGTTTATTCTGGGTGGCAGCTATGTCTGCAGATAATTGCACAACATCTATTTTGGCAGCACTTTCTAGAAAAGAATTAATAAAATCTAATAAGGCACTTAGAAAGTCATGCAGTTTTACTAGCTGGCTGCACACCAGAGCAGGTAATATAGCAGGATATTGAGTCTTACTTTTGCTTCTTAAAGGACTATCATCTCAAAACAGCTGGGGCACAGCAGTGAAAGAAAATCTGAGCTGTTGAAGTCTTGTGATTGGCGCTCCTGAACTGCTCTGTGAACAAACATGCTAATACAGAGGAGACCCACAGCAGTGGCTTGCTAGCAAGCCCCAGATGCTTTTTTTCAACATAGACTTCTCTAGTTCATGTAAAATGGATTCAAAAGGCCCAGTTTGGCTGCACTATGGAAAGAAATTTGTTGATTCTGCCATCCCTCTATGCACATTCCCCTGGAGTGCTTCTCTGGTGGAGCAGTCTGGGTACCAATCCTGTGCAGGTGCTGCAATCAGTTCCTAGGCCTCAAGACAGGATTTCAAGTCTGATTCCTTTCTTCTTCGCCTTTGCAGTGTGTTAATACCTTAGGATCTCTCGGTGCTTTCCAGGAAATGAGGGAAGATGTTGCTGGCACTCGTAATAAGTTACTGGTACCGCAGTGGAGTTTGCTAATGTGCAGGACGGATGCTTGAGTACAGAGCAGCTGCTCGCAGTCAGTTGCCTGCAGAATCATTTTCGCTCCAGAGCTCTGCGCCAGGGCCGTGCAGAGCGCCCTGGGAAGCCCTGGGAGCGAAAGCGCTGGGCGAAACCCCGTCCGTCCCATCGAGGCTCTCCTCATTGGGCTCCATTGCTATAGAGAAACCAGTGGCGTATACTGATCCTTGTAGCAGAAGGCTCCAGCTGTTTCAGGTGTTATTCTCGTGTGAGCTCCCGTGCCCCGGAGCGTCTCTGACCCTACCGACAAGGCAGCATCTGTTACTGAACCGGGAGCCAGCTCCCCGTCTGAGAGACCGGCGGAAACGGCTCCCTCGGAGCGGGCTCAGCAATGCTGTGTAAGGGTAGGAGAAAACAGTGACCTCGGTAAAATTTGTTACGCCACAAAATATATAAGGATCATTGTGACCCCCAGCGAGAACCTGAGACGTAACGAGAAGGCTGTGCGGGACGCTGGATGCCTGCAGGGAAGCACTAGCCTTCCCCAGTGCAAAATATGCGCCAGGTGCAGGGAGAAGCGTCTCCCCTTCGATGGCAAGGAAGAGCACAAACAGCTCGGGACACGCATCCAGCTAAATCAAGTCTAACTTGGGTGGGAAGCATAAAAAGGCCCATGAGGGAGGAACGAAGAGGCTGTGCAGTCCGTCTGTCCTCGCTAGCTGCAATACCTCCTCCCCATACTGGGCTGAGACCAGACTGGTGCCAGTGCTGGAAAGTGTTATGTTCAGCTAGTTAAACAGATAGAAAACAAGCAAAAATATATGACTAATTCAAGGAAGAAGTGGGAGCAGGGCACAATCTGAAGTTTCCAGCACCTCAGAGCCACTCCATCCCTTCTCCTGCCGTCCGGCCGGCCCGGCAGGAGGGGGGCGGAGGGCTGCAAGAGCAGCAGGGCTGTGGAGGTGCACCGCAGGCGGGCAACCGCAGAACGACATCAAGGACTCCCAGCTCAGGTTCTGAATATCTGTCTTGTCAAACCGGATTGAAGCAAGGGTACCTCATCCAGGCTGATGTCTCTGGATGTCCAAAATAAGCTGCTTCATAGAAAGTCTGTGAAAATAAGTGGACAGTAGTACTAGGAAGCCTGCTGACCAGTGTCTTCTTGAGTCATGGCAATGAGCGTGTTATACAATGAACATTAGTGTTCACAAGAGCCAAAAATACCTACAGAAACGATGGGCAGTTTGAATGACATCTGCAGAACGCTGCTAATGGCAGAAAATTGTTGCCATGTTTAACGCAGTCCCTGTCACAAAATGAATCATCCCATCCTACCCGCATGGCGACTTGCACCCATGAGTTCAGCTAATGGTGGCCTCCCGATCATATTCGACGCTTTTCCATCTGAGCGGGGACGGGGATCAGCAGACAAAAGGGCTCCAGCATTTTGTGGCATCCTCAGGCTTATGGATCAGGTTTCAGGTCAACATTATTTTCCACTTCCATTTTGCAAAATGACAGGAGAAGTGATCACACTTACCTTAGTGCGACAGCGAATCCTTCCATTGTTGCAGTATAATAAGGACAATAATTCTTGAAGAGAGAGTGAGAGAGAGAGAGACAGTTTGTGAAATGCTCCCATTTTGTATATAAACGTATCTCTATTTTTCAATCCTAAATGGCACTTGTATTGAAAGCCCAGTGTATAAGCTCTTTCCATTCAGTTTAAAAGCTGCAAAGAAATAGAAACTGTCCAGAGTTGTTCTGCCTATGGAGAGAGGGGACATTTTTCTCTAGGGATGTGTTTAACTATGTCCTGTTGCAAAGGTGTGATGTGATGCTTTCATTATGAGATTGGGACTAAGGGCTTCTGTTCTGGCTTGATCATAGAGGCTGCGTGGCCTTGGGCAGTTTATTTTACTGTTCTGGGTGTCAGACCCCAACCTGTAAAACGTGGATCGTCTCAGGCTGGCTGTTGGCTTTCCAAGGTCCTTGGTGCTGTAAGGACTCGCGTGGCAGGATGGCTCTATGGGCCTGTTAAATAGGGATCTGTGTGTGCAACTGAAGCGCATCCTGGAGCGCTCTGCTAGTGTTACACGTTTATTAGATCACAGATCCTCTTGGTCATCTCTTTATGGAAGAAGTATATGAGTCTGAGAAGATTCAAGCAGCAACTTGGGAAATTTGTTGCTTAAATTATTGCTGCTTTGCGGTGTTTATGTAGCATGTTTCCTTATTCTGTGAGAGACCGCAGGAAAGGTCGTGGGGCGAGAAGCGGTGCGGTCCGCGCCCCGTCCCAGCAGCAGCGGGCGGACACGCGCGGTCGGCGCTGGTGGCCAAGGGCAGGGTGAACGCGCGGGGAGAGGGAGGAGCTGCTCCCCGAGCAGCCCTCTGGGCCGAGTCCCGGCGCCCTCCGAGCACACCCCAGGGCCGCTTCCCCCTCCGCGAGAGACGAAACGTCATCGCTGCGATGTCTCTCTGCTTCTCGGCTCGTCCTTTGGGGCGGAGGTGCAAAAAGTGCGCTTTGCCAGTTTGTGCACCTGCTTTTCATGCGTTTTGGTGCTTACGTGGAGCCACCTGTGCTCCCCTCGCCAATTAGGAAAATAAATCAGATCCACCTCAGCCTGAGTCCCTGCAGCGCTACCCGTTTCCATGCTACGTGGGTGCATCCACTTCCTCGGAGCTCCGCCGGTTTACACTAAGAGCAATCTGGCCCATACTGGCCTCGGGCATGGCGCATGCCGCCGCCGAGGGCAGGTCCCGCCGAAGGCTTCCTGGCTGCTCCCGCCAGGCGCCGGAGCGCGCTGCAGGCGGGGGGCAT